ATACGTCCAATTTTGGTCGCGTCGAATGCAATTAAGACAATTATTATAGATAATGAGATGATAAACCTCATTAAGCTTCATTATCTACTGTTTGAATTCGAATTGCGTTCGACGCGACCGAAATTCGACGTACCGATGGACCGGGGAGGTGAGTACAAGCTTATTGTCACTGAGCTAAAGGCGAGTGCATGACTATTTTGGCTAGCACTCATGCATGCATGGTCATATATATAACCAGATTTCTGGTTACATTTCTGGTAATGTCCGCGAACGTTTTACAAACTTTGTTACTGTCAAATATTGATGCTTTTTACCTATAATAATATATATTTTAACCCTTAGTGCTATCATGGATTGTAAAATAACTGGATAGGAAACTTCCTGACGTCACAGTCTAAACCTAGTTGCAATCTGTGACGTCACGCGTATTGCCAAAGTTCTCAGCATTTTTGTTGTTTCGCTATATTTTCCGCTTTAAAAGAGTAATATTGAAGCATAAACTGGTCTAATTGTTTTAAAAACATGCCTAAGCCACGACAAACTATTCAAGGTAAATGTTTTCATCTTTGTTTTGTATTTTTTTACATTTGTAGCTACGAAATTACATTTGTAGCTAGGAAACTGGCGTCGCCAATTTTTACGAAATTTGCGATGCATTTTTCACTGTTTAGAGCTTGAAATATTTGCTAAAATTGACCGGGAATACGAGATTTCATCATAGAATGGCCTAGTTATATTTATTTGCTCTTTGACTAAAATGTTTAGCTGTATTATCGCTAAACGTGCCGTTTTTGAGAATTTGGTTTGCAACTAGGTTTCAACGCCATCATCCCATTGAAAACATTAGGTCACGTCAGCTAGTTTCCTATCCATGTGTTTTATTATCCATGGTGCTATAGTATTTTATGAAATTAATTTTTTATAATTATGCAACTAATTCAATGTAATTCTGGGTTTATTACTAAAGGAATACCGAATGGTTTTCCGTGCAGGATTGCGTGATCCGTGCACGAGGGATGTCGCGAGACTTTCAAAAGGCGTATCAAGCAGCAGGCGAGTTTTTCATGGATCACGCTATCCTGCTTGGAAAACCATTTGGCAATTGTTTTATAAAATAACTACAGTGAAACAATGACATTCTGAGAATCTTGCGAAAATCCCGCGAAGGCATCTTAATTCCTCGTGTAGGATAGCCTGATCCTGCACTGTAATTATTATACAATAAATAATTCTGTATATCAATAAACCCATGCATGTCTTTGCCTTTTGTTTTATACAGATTCACTTCGAAAAGGGAATTCGAATGGGAATTTGGAAAACTTTGTTTGCGTTGTTCTCACAGAACACGCTGAAGCACACAATTTGATTACATTAAAAGAGAGCAGTCAGTGTACCGTTCTTCGTTTTAATGATATAGATAAAATTAGCCTTATTTATTGTGATTTGAAAGAAGAAAATGGCACAATCTCCAGGAGAAAATTGAAAAAAAGAAGACTAAATTCAAAAATTTAGTAGCACCATTGGAAGAAAAGGGGTTACTGCAGCCATTTGGTGGAGGAATGGAATATGGTAAAAAATATCTCGAGTATCAAGTTAAAGATAGTAAACTTTGGGATTCATTGGTAATGAATTATACAGTTCAGAGACGCCCTGGCTCGGTAATATAAACGTTTACTTTAAAGGAGCATGCAACTCATTTTTTATGTTCTTTCCTACTTTAATTTGAATAATTTATTGAGTAGAACTTTTCATTAAGATTTAGTTTGATCCATGGCTAGTTGTTCGAAACCCGATTAGATTAATCCTTGCTAATATATAAACCATAGTTCCTAACTTTTTCTGGAAATCTTGTCTGGTTCAATGGAAGTTTTACTTTTAAAAGTTCTGAAACAAGCAGATTCGCAGAAATACATAATTCAAGACATCAGGTTAATTGGTCACCGATAAATATATTCTGAAGATATATAGGCTTCCAAAATTGAAGACTATGAACAAAATTCGAACACGCGGCTTATCATGCAGACAGACAAACATAGAAACAAATCAGGGTTAATTTAAAAGATAGCCTTCTGGTATGTGTATCACTTTTTATCAAACTACGTCTCCAATGTCATTGAAATACACTTGTTCATTTTGAATATAAGATATTAAAGATTCTTGAGATATTTTGTCGAAAACTGTTGAATTGTCTTTAAAACCCCTATATACTTTGAAATTGAAAAAAAAATGTTTCCGACGTTGCACATGCTCCATATAAAATTAATATACTAAATTTATTTTTTTATTTGTGCATGCCTATATACAGAATAATATTTTTTTATTTCCTGCAATCTTATTGGCTGGCGAATCGAGTGGGCAGCTTTTTACGATATCTTGACCGCGTGGTCGAAAAGCCAGTTATTTTTTAGTGTAAATTAACCGAGAAGCAACCTCGTTCCCAGGGCTTTCGTGTAAGGACGAGGTGAGACACGAGAAAGCGCTGGTCTGGGCCGGTCACGTGACTACCCAAAAACTGGCAGTATTTGACAGCTACTTGTGAAGGAGCGGCGAGATATTCTTTAATGAAATATACAAGTCTTCGAAACAAATAAACAGCCAAAAGACTTCTCAATCGATATTACTAAATCTCTGAAGACTCCGTCTATGTTTTCTAAGATATACCAATATTTCTGGAGATTTTCAACCACAGGCAAAGCTGCATCCAGGCTGCATCTAGGCGTCTCCATGCAAGTGGTGATTCACGTGCCGAAATTTGCTTTCTCTCGCCTTGAAATATGGCTATTGCTATTAATACTTTATAGTTTAAATATGCTCTTATAGATCTGACTTAGTTCAATATAAATAAACACAAATATAAAACCTCGCGTAACCTGTTTACGCTGTACAGGAATATACGGATTCGTTTGTGTCGCCGGACACCAACACTAGTTGCTGTTTAGGAGCAATGCTGCCTTCAAATTTTATCCCCTTCACACTCTTTGTCTATCTTTGTTTTATTTTATTGTATATAGTCGCAATTTTCACTATTCGGAGTATTCTGAAACTGTAAAATTCGGTGGCGTGACGAATCTTGTAGAGACTACACTACATCGGCCTAGGCGTAGAGCTATTAGGTATAAACAGGGCCTAAATTAATTTAGTAGTTTCATCTTTTGTCTTGCCTTTATGTCAGTACAGAATATTGTAAATTAAAATATTACCACAATGCAATACGCGTAGTATTTTATCAGACATGTCACATCTGCAATACATTATAAATACTGTACAAGGAAAACTACAGCTTAAATAATAGTAGACGTTTCTTGTTTTGTCAGAAAACATCACAACTCACGTCGACACGGCTTTTGAGTTTTGTAACCGGCCGAGGAGAAAGTAAACATGCAGTCGGGAAAACGTCTTACTTCGAACATTCTCGTACACACAAGGATCATAAACATACAAATGTTCAATTATTAATATTGTCAACTGTCAAGTTCAGTTATTTTTAGACAATATGGTGTTGGCCAATCAGAATGCAAAATTGACCGGCCCAGACCGGGGCTTTCTCGTGCATCGCCTCGTCCTCACACGAAAGCCCTGCGAACGAGGTTGACCGAGGAGTGAAGTAAATTTTCAATACTAAAGATAGTAAAATACAGTGAATTAACTATTATAAGTGAATTGACTTCAATGGACTTAATACCTCATGCATGTCAAGCCCGAAATGTATTTTTATTTGAGCAAAATGTGAAAAGCTATAGCTACAACATACAACTTGTTCTTAAACACAAAATTTCAAGATTCCTGGGTTTAATTCGGTCACATACCCTTTTATAAATGTTGTGATGAACAAAATGTTTTCGGCAACTAAAATTTGTAGTTGTCTGACAAAAGCTATTTTTCAAGCATGTTCGTAATTTAAAACGATCCGCAAAGAAAATAAATTTAATTAGTTCACATTCTGCATTGTTTGAGCAGAAAAGCATTTATTGCATTGAAACTAAAGGCTTTTTATCCATTTTATCGCTTCGTTTTAGCAATTTGTCAGCCACATACTTGGACTATATATATGAGCCGATGCAAATCCAGCCGGCAAGATGTAGAAAAACAAGAAAATATTTGTCTGCTTATGCATGATTTTGTATTATTTTTCAATATTTTTCAACAGTTGTTGCAGTTTAACATATCAAAAACTTTACTGTTTTGCCCTTCGCCGGGTTGAGAACTTGCATAAGTGTATGGCAAGTAAAGCATGAGCGCGTGACGTCACTAATTACATGTTATAAAAATTTCAAAATCGATCTTCTAAATAAAATTTTTCCGTGCATATTTACTCCCAAATTATGAAAGATGTGAAAAAACTCGTTTCGTCTTTCATGGCATTATGATGAATGGTATATGCTGGAAGAACACTTGGAATGCATGTTTTTGTGTTCTCCCAACATTCCCCGCTTGCATTATAATTATAAAATCACTAGAGAAACATAGCCGGCGGAACCATAGCCGACTATTATAGCCCCTCCAAAAGATGGATAAGGTTTAAATTTCGAAGTTTATATATAAAAGTATAGGAAATATTTCACTATGTTTAAAGCGAAACCAGGATTATTTATAATAAGTTATTAGACGTTTTTAGAAGTGATCATCATGGTTAAACAATCGATCAGTTTATTCTGTATATTTTTAAAATTGAAAAAAGCAAACAAAAAGTTTTTAATTATAGCTACAAAATTATTATGATTTTCTAAATATTAGTTAGATGTGTTATTATGCGCATGTGTTATTATGCAGCTTAATTTAATGTAAAATTCGAACGCTTTGTAAAACGTTTTAAAATGTTTGTATAACTCTGTAGCTATAGGCTATAAAATTTACGAGCTTGACATAAAATTATTTCAATTTGTCAATGTTCTGCAATCTGTTGTCCTTGATCATTTGTTGTGAAGCAATAACAAATCAAATGTCTAGCTGCTCCTTTCATTAACGATTTTTTTGGTTTCCGCAGATTAATATTTTTTCCCTTTTCCCTCTCAAGTCATATTCGTTTCACTCCTGGAATTCGCCATATAGTTGTGATCTGTGAGGAGGTCCACCCATGATCGGCCATGAAACGGAGCCAGGCATCCGTGATTATTGATTAACTTTAGACTTCGCTAACGCTTTCCTTTTCCCGGGTGTGAATAACCGTGGAATTAGTACCCTTGCATGCAGCTCTAGAGATGAAAGTACGCAACTCGTTTTCTAAAATTTTGAAATTTAATTTTAAATTTCTAGGTACACGAGCAATTTTTTCAAAGCATCAATATGGAGCTACCAAGTGAAGCGTCTTCAGATATAACAGGTATTTTTTATCTATTATATATGCAAGTTCATTTGGTGCTCTTTCCTGCATGGACCGGAATGATTCTGGTGTATCGAAACATATATATATATATATATATATATATATATATATATATATATATATATATATATATATATATATATATATATATATATATATATATATATATAGATAGATAGATATATAGATAGATATATATATATATATATATAGATAATAAAAAATAATAAAAAAAAATAAAAATAAAACAAATAATTACAGTCATTACAATCCGGGGAACACCGTATAATTTTGTAAAAAATAAAAATAAGAAAAAAGGCCTGGATTAATTTTAATTTTTTTTTAATTTTAATTTTTTTTAAATTGAAAAAAAAATAATAAAAAAATAATAATAAAACAAATAATTACAATCCGGAGAACACTGTTTAATTTTGTAAAAATGATAATTTAACAAAATGCCTGGATTACAAATCTTCAAATCTATTATATATATATATACATATATATATATATATAT